TCTAAAGAAGGGTCTAGGCCCGAAACGTCAGCCTTCCTGCTCCTCTGATGCTGCTTGGCCTGCTGTGTTCATCCAGCTCTACACCTTGTTATCTCAGATTCTCCAGCATCTACAGTTCCTACTATCTCTGCCTATTTCTCTTCTGCAGCTGCAGCCTCATAGGACTGTCCCCAGACAGGAAGTATGCAATGTCTGCTAGCATGCTTGAGGTCTGGTGTACACCATCACCCTGGAAATGTAATTTTAAATGGATTTACTAAGTTTCCTTTAAAGTTTCTTTTTACAGTTCATTAGTGTGTGCCCATTTAAGAATGGACATTCATTTCCTCTTTTAATTAATTAAAAATTTCTAATGCTTGAATAAAATATTTAGACAAATATCAATATTGGTTATATAAGACATCAGAAGATTAGGCTTAGTTCATTTCTAAGTCAGATTCAGCATAATCACAATTACCTGCTCGTTCTCTCTCTCTAATAATATGAGATTTGTTGTTATTGTTTCCTAAAGACACCACGGTTGTTCACAAAAATCTTTCTTGTGTTCCATTGTTTACTCTTGTATAATTCTAAGAATTTAAAAAATGTTAGTTATTTCAATGGGAATTAGTTAGACTTTTTTTAGATCTGATTGACACTGATAAAGTCAAAATACTTAACAACAGATAAGAAAAGGTAGATACAGATTGTTTGTAGATTGAGGTTATACCTAAGGCTTTAAGTTCACAAGGTCGCATTAGGTCTATCCACAGAAAATAATTGCTATTGGTGACCAAGATCTATCCAAGATTCAATTTTTAACATAGCACAGATTGTTAGATTTGAACTATAATTCTACAGCAACAAGCCCATCTTACTCTTTGAGAAAATAAAATCTATTAAGAAACATTATTTGGCAATTGTTAGGAATGTTTAATCTACATTTCTTCCCCGGGAGGGCATGGTCTTGCTGGGGAGTAGTTCTGTGAGAATGGGTTACTCTCTGGTACTTCGACAAGTGGCCATTCATGTGTCAGTCTGTGCGGCAAGTGTTGGCTGGTTGTTCAAGTGTGACAGAAATCACAGTCAAGTTAAATCCTACTGTCATGGAGACACATTCACTTTTCACCAAGGGTCACTGGATAGTGCTGTAGAGTAGAACCCCTGATTACTGGCCCAGCTAAAATTGTCTGATGCTTTTGCATTTTTAGGTGGTCAGCCAGAATTTTCTATATCAAAAGTGGGCTTGAATAAGGTATTTGAGGGCTCGTGTTGACACAACATACTATCCTAGTGAGAGATTCTCTGAGTTGCAAGTATCAGGACGGAAGTGGAAATGTGTTCCAGCCTCATGAATTAATGCTTGAAATTGTTTAATGACGGTATTTCTGAATGAACACGCTTGGTTACGCAGTTATATTCTGGAGCAACAATTTTTGTCTCGTAGTAATATCCTTTTGCTTTTCTAGGAACATTTACACATATTTCCTGAACAATGTCTCAGCTGTGTAAGGGTGGTGGTCTGCAACATTTCCTGGCTTATGTTACCTCATTCTGACACAGAAAGATAATAATGAATGCTGAAAGAGACAGTTTTGAAATAACTGCAATAACAGTGACCTACCACTAAACATTTACAACAATGTGGCTCAGCTTAATAATAAAGCTCACGCTGGAAGATACAATTGGTGTCTGAGCCTCCATTCTCTCTGTCTCTCTCTCTGTCTCTGTCTCTGTCTCTGTCTCACACACACACACCCTATCTAATATGAGGTCACTCCAAATCAACAGCCACGCTGAATAAACAAAACTCTATAATCCATAATTAAGAATAGGTCCCTTAACCTTCTACTTACCTATTTTGTGCGTAATTTTATGTTCAACAATAGCCACATTAATAGATACTGCAAATGAAGATATCCTCTGTGTCCTAATATAAGCATATTTCTTTTAAACAGATGAGATTTTCTTTTAATTTATTGTACAGATCATTCAAAGGACACCTTACTCCAATATTGTGCAACTGAAGTGTAACTAGAATTGAATTATCAACCTCACCATTAAGTAATAATCTTTTTGATTCTTTAAGAGAGTCGGCTGTGGATGTAAAATGATATTGTTAATTACCTTTTGTACTTAGCCTTTCTGAGAGTAGTCACATTGTTATGGTTAGGATCCCGATGAAAGACTATCAATCTGAAAGATTAACTCTGAATCTGTCTCTACAGATGCTGATCTGGTAGCATTCTAACCTTTTCTGTTCTTATTTTAGATTTCCAACCTCCTTCACATTTTGCATTTGTAATGGATTTGGGTAATAAGAGCTGCTGAACAAACTAAACCAGAGGCCCAATTCAAGTAA